CCCCCCCCCCCCCCCCCCCCCACCCCCTGTGCTCGCTGGCCCGACAAGGCGGCTAATGCTATAATGCTATGATCACAGGACTGCAAAAACTGCGTCTTCCCACAAGCAGGCTGGTACTCAATGTCAGGCATGTACCCTCCAAGGGGAGATCATTCCCTGTAGAAAGGGGTTGAGACATTGGCAGAGACCATAGTAAGATGGTAGAGACAGATAGGCCAATACTGTTATAATGTTTGGTTGATCAAACTGTAATTGAAACAGTTTAAACTTGTATTGTGTGTAGTATTATTATGTCGTACGAGCTAACGAGGGTTATATATTTTGTGGCGCCTTACTTGTTTTTTAAAAGCTGAGAAGAGGTTTTGTTTTCTGAGAAGTATTTTTTACTTTTCTACTTTATGAAAAGAGGTTAGGAAATCGTGGAATATTTGGTGTAGGAAGCTGTGCTTGATTCAGTACCAAAAGCATGGGAAGCTTGATACTGCACCCTGTCCAATGTCAGTCCTGACCACAGACAAGCGTGCTGTCTGAAGCTTCATAGAAAACAACATCCGTCACCCAGATCATCATGCTTCCATTACTCTAACGCACTTCGGTTATATTATTATTCGATAACAGTGCTATGTATCAATGAACTAGATTGTGTACATACACAAATATATCAGTGAATATATTCATTGTTTGCAGTGTTATGCGTAGATTACATCTTTAGACAACGAAGTCATCCATAGTCTAATCTGTGTCAAGTCGGTGTTGTGGTTTGCAGATAGGTATAGTTGATTTCATGATACAAACTCCATGTGTATCTGAACTACTTATGGTTTCTTGAGCATACTATGCCAGTATGGATAGCTTGTCTATGGGAAGACTTATAGTTTATAGTTTATGTCTATTGGTAACATACGAAGGAGAGCTGTTTGGTGTAGCTCTTCGGGCGTTTCATGTCTTAATGGATGTTGACCCTCTTTTTTTCTTTTCAAATGTGTAATTGTATATGTTGACTCTCTGTTGTCTAATGGAACGGCATCCATGGTGCTATTGAGTCCACGTAAAATGTTGTGTACGGCACAGTGCTGTTGTCTTTTCATTAACTGTTATGTTTAGGGGTGTGTTTTTCCTAACATTCCCAGCATGTGCTGTCTATAAGTTTGAACAAATGCTTCACCACCCAAACCCCGTCCCTTGCTCCTTTGTATATATCACCCTTGCATATATCCCCACAGCCAAACACAATGCTCAAAGCTCATTCCCCCTCCCGCTCTCAGTGTTGATTATTGCTATGCTAAAAGTGTCCTTGATTGCACCCCCAAGCTTTTATTATAAAATACCCTTGCGCTGATCATGCGTATGAGCATGACATCAATTCATAAAGCATGAAACACGTATGTCATATCTATTACGTACACGTTTGTCCCCCTGTGATATTGAATTTTGTTTTCTTTTTGTGTGAACTGTGGTATTGGTCCTTTCATCGAACCCAATGAGTTTTACAAGATATGAAAATAGATATCATTGTGAAATTATCAATGGTGTTTTAATGTCAAATGTCGTAGTGACCAAGGCCCATACACATCGTTTGCCTGTCCTCTTCCTTTTAAAAGACTGGAGGTAATATTTGTTGTTGGCAATATTAATTTATTGTCAGAGAAAAAGGTAAGACACATTTTCATGGAAAATCTCATTCACTGGTCAGTGACTGCAATACATTTGTTACAAGTGTTCTCTTTGAGACAACTTGTGCACCCTCATGGTACCCCGGAACTGACATGGCTGGAATTGAAATAGCCTTCCTTTAACACATGATCTACTAAAAAATGTAGCCATCGAGCGGAGGGAGTTCGTGTTTTCTGATAATACGCTAGTATGCGTTCCCACACAATAGGGTTATTTCTGATCAATTGCTGTGAAAAGTCGTGGAGATTTTGAAGTTCTTAAGTGTGATTTGGTCACAGCTGCGTGTAAAATCCCGTAATCCCTCATCTGATGGAGGACTGTGATGTCTCCACTGCTGAATATTGAATAGCGCGTGCCTAGCATTTTGGCGCCCGTCTCACAAACAGAGGACACAATGACGTATAGCTCAGCAAAATTGGATTCGTACATCGGATTATCCAGTTCCTTTCTTTGAAAAGCATCACTTATTCATGAGCTGATGGTTCAAATCACAATATCATGTTATGGTGTCCTACCCCGAGCAGTTTCCATTTGGTTGGAGGATTAGGGGGGAGGGGTAGTTTGTAAAGATGTAAATAATTGATTTCGGTATTGTGTGTATTGATCTGACTGTCAAGTGAATAATATATTTAATTCTTATCGAAAGGGTTTCACCCTTGAAGTCGTTCAATTCAAATCAAATTAAATTTCAATGAAACACAGTTGTTCAGGACTGCTGGTTAACTCGTTGTCCGTGTGACCAGTCCCCCCCCCCCCCCCCCCCCGAACAAATGGCGATTTGATCTTAATAGGTACGTCTAAAAGCCGGTTTAAAAACTTTTTTTTG